TTTTTTCTGGACACTTTTGATGACACAAGAAAACTGTCTCAGAAGGAAACAGGGGTGACTAAGAGCTCTAAAGGGCTGGGGCAAATCAGTTCAAAATCAACCGATTATATTTTAAAGAAATTTTAAAGGATTAATTATTATTACGAAAGTAAGAAACAGTAACTAAGACTTACTATAAAAAAGAACAGAGCATTACAACCATCCACTCCCTCTCCAAGAGCTCCGATGTATCTACAGATAGCAGCTTAGAAATCAGAAATACTCTGGGATTTTTCTGGGAATAGGGAACTGTCACATACAGCTTAACATTCAGGAATGAATCCCACGCTCTTGTCACCTCTGCAAGTTTCTGGGGCAGGGAGCACCCAATGAGAAAACCAACATAACTCTACCCTGAAGATTTTCCTCAATGTAATGTGTCCACAGCAAGCCTGTCAGATAGAAGAGTCTTCATAATCTAGAAATATCGGCACCCATATATCAAAAGCAGGGAACAGAGTTTCAGGGCTATTCTAATAGGATAGTCACATACTACAATGAAAGTTAATCATCAGGAAGCTACTTCTGGCATCTATCTCCCTACATCTCCACGAAACAGCTTCAGACAATTTTCTCCTAGACACTGAAAGAGGTTTCAAGCCACTGTATAGCACTGCACATTGGACAACAGCTAATCATGAGGTGTTGGGAAAACAAAGGCTATGTAAGGCAGCAACTGAATGAATTAGCAGATATATGCTATTAAGTCTAAGGAATGCCTCTCCACAGCAGTTTATAGAGTTTAGTATTTTGTTTCAGGATGGAAAAAAACACATTAGCTAAAGGAAAGAGTGGCTAAACTACAATCCAATGATGTCACCTTTAACGTTCCTAAAATGCAGCATCTTAAAAAGAAATGAATATATCATTGGCTGCATAAAGCCATCTAACAAGAAGGGAGAAAAAAGCTTTGCTACATCACTCCACTGTTGTCACTTAAATGAAAATATGTGGTGAAATAGTGAGGCCTGACAAACGAGAACCTTGTCACAGATTCCAGTTCTCTCCAATTCTTTCATCAAGAAGTTGAGATGAATTTAGAAGTGAAGAAAACAATACAGCTTAAACCAAATGTAGCAATCAGTGCTTCACAGTGTCTGCACTCAGACTGAAAGCATCGCTTTGTTAACATCATTCAAAATATTTACCCTGTTATTGAAAAGTGCAATGGATTTTAGACTGTGCACTGTATGTAGTCTAGGTGATCCTCTCAAGTAAACATTCGTAACTTCCCTGTTTCAGACACATGCCATGTGCCTGGAAATAAATATTTAGCTGCATGAAAAAAACATTTGCATGGTTACTGTTGTGCAGTATTTTCTTGAAAGGATCTCCTCCAAGCTATATCCAAGCTACAACTGCCCCAAAACTGCCCAGGTGCTTTGGTCAGCAGGGTAAAAGGTCTCCATGGAAGAATAGAGACAAAGCAGCCAGGAATCACTAGTTTCAGACTCCTCCCTTTAAAATCAATTTTAAATTATTTGAAAGTGTTAAGGAAAGGCATAATTATCATGAAAGGAGAAAGATCACTTCAATACTCAATTAATGAAGTAAAGATGAGTGAAATTAGTGTAATAAAAATAATATAGTGGAATAGAATAAGATGACTATATTCCCCGTAAATCCTTTCGAAAGCTACTCTTCATGGTGACAGCAACAGTGCAGCCCCAAGAAACCCTTAAGCCTGGATATTTTTCTGCACCTGAGACCCAGGGGCAGCATTCACCACATGGAGAAATGGAGAATTTCCTAAGAGTGATCCTGGCAGACTCTTAAGACTCAGAATCTTAAGTTGCTGCATAGCTGTATCTCAGTGGAAGTATTTGCTGTCGTTTATCTTGGAAAGGAAAATAGCAGAGGAACAAAAAAAAAAAAAGAAAGAAAAAGACAGAAAGACAGAAAGACAGAAGGAAAGCCCATAAGACTAGATAGTTTACTTTTCAATCAAGTATGTTACTTTAAATTATAAAATTAAGAGGTAACTGTAATTTAGGAGATGTCCTCAATTGCCTTAAATTAGCATATTTCCACTGAAGTCCCTAGAGCCATGCAAAGGCAGATGAGTTTCTACTCTCATTCAGTTTTCAAAATGCATGAAGCATTTTGCAAGAATCAATGAAAATAGCTTCTCTCAATTTTCAGACAGACATTCTGATTTTCCTTTACCTAGGTAGTGGAACCATTAGAACCACAGCATAATTAAATATAGGGAAAGCTACTGTTTGATGACTGGCTATATCCTTTCACTTTCCTATTTTCTCACCATCCTCTATCCACCACCCTATTTTCTCATTGTGGAAAAACAAGAGCTAGTACTGAGTCTTGTAAAGCAACACAGCACGGGGTAACTCCATCCTGCAGCACAAGAGTTAAATACCAGTGCAGTTTGTTTCTCCACAGGCGTTGTGCAAGGCTGTACCTGCTGCATGGAGTGGAGAATCACGTCTTGTGTCGCTGCTGCTTCTTCCAGTGGTGAGGACTTACAGAGAGTTCTCTAGAAGTTGCTTAAGGTTCTTACACACAGGGAGAGAACGGGGCAAGCTCAAAGGAAAATGAAACGGGATGACAAAAAGCGATGGAGATCTGACCCTGAAGCCGCAGTTACTCAGTGCAATCCTTATAGGGGGTTCCTTTTCACCTCCCAAATGCAGCTACCTTTACTCTCCTTCGTAAAGGAAAATGGGAACCATGAAAGATACTAAATGGGAGTTATAGATGCTGGCTTAATTATAGTATCATCAGCACTGAACTAAGTCAGCCCTCACTTTTGCACAGTAAATTAGACAAATACCATCTCGGCACAGACAGTATTTTGTACATCCTAGTGTTGCACAGTAGACACTTTATTAGAAGCCTAAAGGGCACATCTAATTTTATAGTCACAAATTCTATCTCGCCATACTCTTGTTGAGATTGATGGGCCTAATCTGATCCCATTACACGTAGTGGAAATCTTTGTTTTCTTTGGTAGGCCTAAAACTCCTTTTTAAAACCAGTTCAGGCTTCTTTTCCATCAAATTACATAATAATCTCCAAGAGAAAGCAATAAAATATTCAAAAGAGATTTTTCTTTAGTTACTTTATCCTAGCTGCCCTGTTGAATGAATCCTTCTTAGCATACATAACCTAGGAGGCCCTTTCTCCTTGCTTTACCCTCCAAAGCTTTGCAAGAAGACCCCAAACACAAAAACACACATGTCGAGAGAAGACTTGTGAACAGTGGACAGCACTTCATAGCAGATACTGAGATAAAGACCACGCGGCCTAGATTGTGCTAGGATTATTTTTTTCAACAGAGTCTAGTATTATCTTCAGTCTTTATGCATCTATCGTTTTAACTTAGAAACAGGGTATAAAACGTTTCCACAATTAAGAGTCAAGAGGCCTTGAAAATGATCTGTGAGGCCATTAAGTTATTCATTCATAGGTAAAACAACCATTTAGATAACGCAAACCTTTGTGTCAGTTAGAACACTGAAAAAAGGCAGGCTTACTGCTTTTCATTACAAACATTAGAAATTCAATGAAGCAGTTAAACAGGAGGAAGCGATGAGAACATAGTCACAAAACCTGCAAATATTTAAGTTTTGGCTCAATTTTCTTGAAAAGATAAAGGATGCCATTGCTAAATTGTGATAAACATAATAATTCATTCCTAAGAACATACCAATACACACTCATTAGATTTTCAAAGTCCTATTTGTCAACCTTTCTACAACCGTGTCTTAAATAAGCATAAACAAATGATATAGTTGGACAGATTCCAGTCACTAAGTGTTCTGCTTCCATGGCCATAAAAGTGTTCTGTTTCTATGACCTTTTCCATGATCTAGAAACAAACGCTGCCTTTATCCTATCCTCTTCCCTGTTCTGGGTGGATAGAACCAATCCAAAGTATTCCAGATCTTATGAGACCATAAGCAGCTCTGTTTGTCCCGTCTCACTGCAAGGACTGGTTGTTTTCCCAGGGGATATCCCACATCACTTGGCTCTTCTGTGACATAAGAAATCAATAAACATCACCTAAGAGGCATCCAAACACTCCTCAAATGCTTAAAGATGCTTCTATAAACTTGGGACACAGTGCAAAGACACTGTTGTACCATCTAGCCCTAAATGGATGCCTGTTAATGACTGTTACTAATGTTACTCCTAAGAGTAACAGCTGTTTTGCTTTTCCTCAAACACCTGTCTTTGCCTTAGTTTTTCTTTTATTTTGGTAGGGAGATTGTTAAGGAAATGTATTATGGAACCATACGAGGAAAACAGGACCATGAACCAATCACCTGCTGCTTGTGCAGATAGCTGCTTAGAAGGTGCACATTTTTAACCCCCTTTTTAACTCTGTTACACAATCACAGGATGGTTGTCTTCAACAGAAGCTCCTCAGACGGATATATAAAGAATAACTCCCATCTCTAGCAGTTGTTATCCTGTCATAACGAAATAATCCTCCAACGCTCAGTGTCATTTGCTTAAGTCCTTTAAGCCCAACAGAATTCCCAGTTAAGTACTGTACCGTTCACTGCAGGTGCATGCCCACAATCTGGAAGATTAAAAAATAAAAATAAAACAAAAAATAAAGACTGACACATACCCCTTTTCTGCAGCATTAAAAATTAGCTGCTGAGAAGTGCCCTAAAAGGGCCAGGGCCGGAGGTTTTGCAAATCAGTGATGGGACTGAGTTTTACACCAGCCCAGAACGTGGTTCTTAACTGGAGAGAACTGGCTTTTCATGCCCTTCGCAGCAAGAGACATCTAAAGAGTGGCAGCTGTTCCACTTCTACTTGGCAGATTTGGATATGTGAATTTTTATGAATCTGTATGACACACATACACACACAGTGAATAAGTATTTGCAAATGACCAGCATACACAACAGGTTTTTTTAATTTATCTTCAACTTCTAACTGCACAAACACTCACTTTCAATTACTAGCATGCAGGTAGCTGTACTCACCTGTGATCTAAATGATGAATAGAAAGAATAACCCCTGAATTTAAATGGGCTTGCTTTAAGGTCACCAACACTGTGAATTCATACTTATTTCTTAACTTCTGAAAAAAAATTTCAGCTGTTTCTGGAGATGCCTTTACACTTCTTGAAGTATCTGAAAGAAAAACAATATAGAAAAGACTCAGGATACAGTATTATTTTCCTTTACACCATTCAGCAGCTGAAAAAAAAATGACAAAATAAAGAGCTGCATCTTGGTAGTAAAATAACCAGACAGGTAAAAGCAGAGACCAAATTATTTTAAACATCAGATCTTACATAAAGTGACAGTCATTTCAATTAAATATATATATATATTCATATATATATATATATATAAAAAAAATAAAGAAATGCATTTTGTTTTCCTTTTCTCTTTTTTTTTTTGTTAAATACAAGGTCACAGGTGTTTCACTCTCTCCATGGATGGCCATACACACCTTCCATGTCCCATACCACACACAGAGCGACTGGCAGCCCAGCTCCCTGTGCACCTTGTTGCCCAGAGTGATGCCACTGGATACGAGCCTAAGCTGTGAAACGGGACCACAGCAACTATTTTATGCCACCTACAAAAATGCTATGCTTAATATCTATGCAGAATTAATTAAAAAAAGAAAAATCAACACCTCTTGGGGGGCAATTTACTCAGCTTTAACTAAGAGTTATAAATGAGCTCTAAAATTCACCATGTCTCAAAATATATTGTCAAAAATTAATCACTGTTACTCCAGTTGTGCAGTAACGTTGCTGCTGCTTGCACAGGATGTCATGTACATTTGTCATGGAGTAATTGCACACACACAAAAACAATTTTGCTTTTAAGAGCCCCCACACAACGGAGACCGAAACGAGGCTTCTGCTGGATTTGCATAGAAGATAACAACACAAATGGTGCAACCTTCAGCTCTCTGGAGAGATCATTTACTAAATAAGATGTCAAATGCTAGAGAAACAATTCTCAGATTTTCCACAACACATTATACTAGAAATAAAATAATATATGGTTTTAATGCACAAAATCGATTCATTAGAGTGTGTAATCAGCTGTGCCGAAACGAAATCAATTCGTAAGCTTCCCATCATTGCAAGGTGGCCATGAGGTGCACTCAGGGCACCCTCGGGGCCGGGCGCAAGCAGAGGGCTCCCCGCCCCAGCAGCCACGAGCGGCCGGCGGCAGGAGCGGGGCTCCCAGCACGCGCCGTGCCAGAGACACGCGTCCGCACTCGAGCCCTGTCTATACTAATGCTCTTCTATACGGACAGCTAACAGTTTGTTGTGGTCTATGCAACAGGAATATTTTGTAATACAGGTTTAAGAAAGGTGGTAATTTCCACACCTCAGAAGCTAGCTGCTCTGCTACACAGTGTCGCACCAGGCTGAACTGGATCCGTTTTCCTCTACAAGGGAGAATCCAAAAGGGAAGGGAAACCAAAAAAGAAGAACACACTTCAAGGCTCTTTTTGTGAAACTTCACATCTTTTCTACTGTGGGTAGTGCAACTCCCTCACTGCAGCACACATCCATGCTATTTTAATGGAACTGTTAATAAATCATAAAGCAACTCAAATACAATTACATCAAAGTGTTCACTTTTAGCCAAGGGACACTAACAGAGTGGAATGACATCAGTTTGCATGCTGGAAGATCGTTTAACTGCATTAACAATTTCAGCAATATAAACAGTCCGCTCCCACCAGAGCGAGCAGAGAAGGACACACGTGGAACATATTCTCTAATCACTGTCATGAGTCCTTCTGCACTCACGTTCTTAGCAGCAGCTTCCTGATCGGGATAAAGGAAAACACAAACGTGGAGCTCGCTTGGAAGCAGACAGGGACCAATCTTTAACATCCTTTTCTTTTTTTTTTTTTTTTTTTTTTTTTAAAAAAAAAAAAAAAAAAAAAAAACGTTAAGGGCAAGCCATTCGTTACTGATGTTTTCTAGATCACAATAAATACAAAGCCATTACAAGGAATGGGTACATTCTCTTAAGAACGAACATGCTTTTCAGTGCGCCTGAAGCTAAGCGGATAGCAGGAACGGAACCACAGAAAGCCCAAACATCTGCAGAAGCAGCTCGGAAGGGGAGGGACGTTCTAGTTAATTGGGCTCTACAGTTCCAGTTTCATGTGCACACAGCCAGCTTTTAATAGCAGCATCTATAAATCAATTCTGTGTCTCCCCAAGCTCACTGAGCCGCCCAAATTTAATTCTAGTGGTTTGTGAGCAAAGAAGGGCTGCAGGGTAAATAAAGCCTCAAGAACAACAAGGCTAGCTCGGTTTTGCTTTATTTTCCTGCACTATTTGGAAACAGAGTCATATACACAAACTCAGTGTCACTTCTTCTTATGAAAATGCTGGGCTTATGTTTTGTTAACTAGCAATTTCACCCAGCCTACAAGGTGCAACAGTATCTGAGACAGTTCTGATTGGGCTTTTATCTAAGCAGCTTCTCCTGGCTAAAGAGGCAGAATGGGAAGCCAATCCAAGTGTGGACTCTAGCTCCTTTATACACCTGACTATCTGAACCGATACATACAACGTTAGCTGATAAATCATTGGCTCATTCCTTCCATACATCTCCTGCATGTATGTGGCCTTACATTTCCTCAAGAACAGCGAAAGGGAAGCAGCTACATTTGTTCAAAACTGGATCAACCTGATTTAGCCTCTCTAGAGGAGATCAAAGTGTAGGAGTTTAGAAAGAAGCTTTTTGCAGTGCTACTATAAGAGACTAAAACCAACCAGGAGTGACTTGAAGCCAAACCACTGCATCAAATAAAAGCAGTGGCAAGAGCATCAGTTTGCTCTTGCGGGAGGTTCCCACCACCTTTTCTTTGCAGCTTTCCTTACTCTGAACACAGAACCACAGAACTGTAGAATCGTTAAGGGTGGAAGGGAATCCAGTTTCAAAGCTCTGTCACTCTCACTGCTAAGAAATTTTTCCTTAAGTTCCTGTGGAACTACTGGATGTACCATCCAGAAAGGGCCATGGTCCAACTTAGAACAGGCTGGCCTGGGCTGTACCTCAGAACAACGCACTGACACAGGAGCTCGCACAAGGACCTGTCTCTGAAAAATCATATTCTCCATCCTCCAATTACATTGACCGTTTACACCAATAGCCAAAAAAAAATATTCATATTACTTCCAGCCAGAATTCTGACTATAAGCTATATATTTGTGTGAATGTTACATGTAATGAAAAAATCTAAGTTATTTTGGCATGGCTAAAGACATATCCAGTGGAGGCGAGGGTTTATGGACAGGACAAGAGGACTTCACGTGTGGACATGTATGCTTGATCCTTGTCTGCTGCTGCCAAATCATTGTTAAGCACCAAACTCCCTTGTCTAATCTGGAATAGTGTGTGTATTTGCATAAGCAATCATGATTTCATTCAAAGCACTTTGTTAGTAATGTTTTGCTCTCCACGCTCCAAGTCCCCAGGTAGTTTTTGCTTGGTTTGTTAACCTTTTCGCTTTTGCTTTTATTTCTATTTAAAAAAAAAAAAATTAAGGGATGTTCAAAATTGTCAACTACATCCAATGAAACAGAAATAGAACATATTTAATAGAGGGGAAGGGGGAACCCTCTATCTGACATGGTAGAATCTGATCATTGATCAGCAGGGAGCCCGCAGTCATTTACACCAGCTCCTGGCACTGGCTGGGATGACTTCAGGACAGAGATTGCAAACCAGGACTGTCCAGGGCAAGCTACAGCTGTTATATATTATGCATTCAATGTAAAATAATGATAACACCGAAAATCTGTTTCTGCCTTGGAGCATTCAGCAGAAAGAGATGATTCAATGCTAGCTTGAGATTCATTATAGTAGGGAATAGATTGAGCCTCCAAGTTTATTGCTGGCCACTCTGGAAACTAAGGGCAGTCACACTGAGCTGACTGCTTTGGCAATGCTAAGCCTGTCTGCTCACAGTGTGGCTACCAATTGCCACTGCTAGATTAGCCCCCTTTGCACCTCTGCAAGTCTACAAAACAACTGGGCAGGTGCCATCCACTGAAAAACAATCAAACTCAGCCAAATCCCTGGGGATTTACACTACAAAACAATTATGGTACCAACTTTTAACTAGATCATTTTATGGGGAAGGTGCATCCTCTCTTCCACCTCCAGCCACCAACTGCACAAGCAGAACCCAGCTGTCCCTCTGAAGCTCTCAGGATGCTGCTAAGGGCAATTCCCTTTGCAGATTACAGACCAGGGCAACATTATTCCCCGAGCCTCGAGGAGCTTCGCTTTGTCAGCATCAGAGTGCTAATGCACACAGTGCTAGTGCACAGCTACAGCACTTAGTTTGGCAAGCAGATGCTTAAAAGGCAGGGAAATACATTCAAAGAGATGAAGTGGCTGGATCCACCCCACTATAAAAATGCATTTGAGCATCAGGCTGTGGTCCTTCCAGCAAAGAAGGAATTTCCTGCAGAGCCAGAAGCAGGAACAGCCTGCTGTAAATGAAACAGTAACAGGTCAAGTGCACCCATCAAAAATAAGAAGGATCCATATCTGAGGGTTTCAGGGCTTTCAGACTCAGCAGGCAAAAAAATAGATGAATGGATGGATGGATGGATGGAAGGAAGGAAGGAAGGAAGGAAGGAAGGAAAGAAGGAAGGAAGGAAGGAAGGAAGGAAGGAAGTTCTAGTTGCAATATTTAAAATAGCATATTTCTATAGGCAGTTGCTCAGGCTTTTGCAAACAAGAGGATGAGAAACCTCCTTTCAAGAAAACTTGAACTCCTCATTTCTGCGTCTCCAGATTGGAAGTCTGTATTCCTCACGCTGGAGGCTGAAACAGATCTGAAACATTCGGGATCACTACCGAAACAACTAACTCCCACCAAACTGTCAAAGGCAACGAGGCTCAGGTTATTCTCATGGAAATCTATAGCAGTGAATCAGCAGCAGCCTACGAGCGCTCCTGAGCTTTTATTTCTGAAAGTCATGCACACACCAACGCAGCAGAGGCACCGTCCAAAAGTACCGTGGGGCCCTTCTAAATCTGGGCATGATACAGGAAAGCACGGTCCCTGCCTACAGAAAATGCTCTCTTTTGCTGTCAGTATGTCGTCACGCAAGATCCCATCACCG